ATGATCACAGCAGAAAACCAAAACTGTATAATTAAAATTGTAGTATCTGAAATAAGTGTAAAATCCTGTTGCTGTCAAGTTGATTCCAACTCTGAGCAGCCCCACCACCCTGCCAAACAGAGTAGAAGCCCCCCCCCGGCCCCCCGATTTCGTGCCTGCGGCTGGAATCGTCACAGAAGCAGGCTGCCTCATCTTCCTCCTGTGCAGCTGGTGGGGTCAAACCACTGACCTTTAGGTCAGCAGCTGAGCACTTTGAAGACTATACCAGCAGGGCTTCTGGAGGTAACCATGTTATTGTTGTGTACCGTCAAGTTGGGACCCTAAATGGGAATCTTATAAAATTTAAGACCATTTCAGTCATTGAGAAAAGATGTAAGAATATTTTAGGCTTACCACAGTGTGCAGAACCCTAGACTTGAACTCCTACAGTCTGATCCCAGCTCTGCTGTTGATGTCCCGTACCACAGGGGACAGAATACTGAAATTTCTCAGACACATGTCCTGGCCCAGCGTGGGGCACAGTGTCATCCTGCCTGAGTTAACTCCCACACGCGTATTAGCATAAACAAGCACCATTTATTTAGCTTCAAACCCAGGACTACAGTACTATGGACAGGTGACCTTGTAAGGCTTCTCAGCCCCTCCGGACCCTGTGAGACGGCCCGGGGGCTTGTAAGTGTGTTAGGGTCTGTCTGTTAAATGAGAGCCGCTGGAGACGTGTTGAGGGTCCTTAACCTGCAGCGAGCACCTCTCCCTCCTAGTTGCACAGCCATCCTGTATCTTCCTTCTGGATGTATAGTGAGTATCCACCCAAATAGAATGTGCAGAATGAAGAGATCCAGTTGACTAAGATGTCCATGTGACCCTGTAATGCTAAGACAACCCACTTCCACCCAGGCCCTGCAGTGATGCTTGGTCATTGCCATCTGACTGGCCCACAGTATCTTTGAGATTTCCAGCTAGTAGGGTCCTCTCCAGTATGCCAGTGTGCTTGCCCATACCATGTGAGCTGTGGGCTTGCTAAGAATCAGTTCTTTCTATCCACACAGTGTTGTGTCTGGGCCACTATTGCAGTTCAGGGAGCTGCCGGCTTAGTGATACGGTGTGCCGCCAACACACAGGCACGCCGTTGACTCCACCAGCTGCTCTGAAGGAGGAACATGGGCCGTGTCCTCTCGTAGGTTCTACAGCATCTAAAAACCCACTGGAGGGGCAACCGTGGGAGGGTCTGACTGCGTGGTGCTTTATAGTTATGTAGTCTGTAGGAAGTTGTGCTCCTAGCCCTAAATGGACATTCCTTTGATAGCTCGAATCCACCAGCAGCTACGCAGGAAAAAATAAAATTCTCCATCTCCAGCAATGCAATTTCTAGCTTCCTTAAAACCCATTGGAGGTTTTCAGGTCAGCTATGAGTTGGTTCTGACTCAGTGGTGGTGCGAGTTGAGACCATAGTTAAGTACTCTAATTCCAAGTTGTGAAATAAGAGTGAGGAGAAAAATCTTTGTTTCTATTAAACTCTGTCCTATATGGCGCTTGCTCCTTTATAACAAACCTCATAAAGTGAAGATTTTAAGAGATTTGACCAAATCTGCAGCAAAACTTTACCTGTAGAATAACTTGATGAGGGTGAACACTGAACAAAACTGGATGTGACATGAGATGTGGTTGAGACAACTGAGGGAGAAAATCCTAGAGACAGATTAGGCATGTGCTTTGCTTCTCAGACGTCTGTAAATGCAGACTTAAGAGAGTAAAATGATGGCCCTGATGCTGCTTAGTGGAGATGATTTCTATCTGAAGTGCACGTGAGTTTGATCTACTCTAAAGTGACTTTACATTAACCTAGCAGTTCTGAATCTCATCTTACCTGATAAGGCTTTCTTGGGCTTGCTGGTCCAAAACCGTCATTTACACTTTGGGGATATTGTTTGACGTTTGTGCAGCTGTCCTTCCTGTGCATTTCACCTCCATAGCTCTGAATCCTTTTTTTTTTTTAACAGCCAAGATTTATTTCTCACAAATGACTCCATAATACAGTTAAGTTACAAAGACATGCTGAGTAAGATATCTCAGTCACAAAAGGACAAATACTACCTGGTGCCACTGTTGTAGAAAGTGACTGACATCAGGGTTAGGGTAAGACTGAAAAAAACTGTATAGATTATGTGTACTGAATTGAAACAGATGAGGGAGAGAACAGTTTAAAAGTGATATATGATAGTACATTATGATTATCACAGGAATCCAGAATTAAGGGTGCATAGCGGAGTGCATTGGGGCCTGCAGGGGGTGCCGGGGGGATTGTAAACCAACGAAAAAGTTTATCTTTTGCTTTTCAAAGAAAGGAGCAAACTGGGGGTGGGGGGCAAAAGGAAAAAGTGCAACAGTGAATGAATGAAAATCCAAAATCTCCATAAATGTTCATTACAATTAATAAAATAAAAGTTTTTTTTAAAAGTTAGAAAGACTGTACCTTGCAAAATTTTAAATACTAGAACAAGTAAGTAGGATCAGCATATTGGAAATAGTTAAATTTGTAGCATATGTAGCAAGAGGTAGGTATATATCCTAAATATATAATGTTAACTTTTAGATTAAAAAGGAGAAAACACTTTAGTTTTTTTTTAATTGAGATTCTGTTGTAAGTTTATAAGGAGCTTGAATGTCCATTCATTCATTGTTGCACATTTTCCTCCCTGCCCCCACCCTCCCAGTTTGTTTTTTGATTTGGGGAAAAAAGTTCTTTGATTTGTCCTACCACCACCACTTTACTATGCAGTTCCTGCTCTGTACTCTTGTCATGCCAGTAATATCTAATCATATATTCCTTTTATGTAGTTCTCTCCCTCTGTTTCAATGCCATGTGCATTATTTATTCCCTCTTTTCTTAGTTTCCCCCAAGCCCCCTTTCAGTCCTGTTTTATAACAGTGGCATTATATAGTATTTGTCTTTTTTGTGGTTGGGATATTTCACTCAGCATAGTTATCTTATCCTCAGTGGTCACCCATTTTGTATAATATTTCATGAGTTCCTTGTTTCTCAGTGCTGCATAATATTCCATTGTGTGAATATACGACAGCTTCCCTATCCATTCGTTTGTTGATGGGCACTTGGGTTGTTTCTAATTCTTTGCTATTGTGAACATAGCAGCAGTAAACATGGGTGTGCATCTGAATCCTTTTTTAAGGACGAGTAAAATTTTACTTGTTTGAGAGATGCTAATGCTGTTAAGGAATTGCTTTTTCTTGGACCCTCTGAGGTATTATGGTTTAAAGGATCATAGACTTGAAGTCATACTTGCTGAGCCTATTATCAGTTTCTTCACACTGTTTACCTTTGCTTCTCTGACCCTAGTTTAATTTTTTTTTAATGTCACAAGGTTTTATTGACAAGATTATTTTTTTAATAACAAAAGATTCCCAGCTTCCCGGGGTGTTATCTTTTTAGTTAACACTTTTTGTGTTGGAAAATGAGACTACCATCAGTGAGTGCTGGGAGCTCTGGTGGCATATTGGTAAAGTAGTTGTGCTGCCAACCCAAAGGCACACAATTCGAATTCACCAGGCGCTCTACGATAGAAAGTTGTGCAGTCGCTTTCTGTGTGATTTACTGTCTCTTGTAAACCTGCTGGATGGTCAGTTATGAGTTGGTTCTAACTCCATGATACATAACAAAAACAATCACTGAATGAATATTGAGGAATCTTTAATTATGAATTAGCTTTGGCTGCGTTGTTTTTTGTGCGCAAGCACACATACATAGACCCACTCAATGTTGGAGTCAGGAAAACTTGAATTTTTTTTTATTATTTTTTTCTATGTGTACCATCAAATCAGATCTGACTGGTACAGGAGGAGATTGCCCCTCCTTCTCCAGCATAGCGTCTGGTGGATTCAAACCACAGACCTCTGGTATTGCAGTGCAGCTTCTTGCCACTAGGCCACCAGAGCTCCTTAAAACTTGAATTTTGAATCATCATTGTGCCACTTACTAATTGTGTGGACCTTGGAAATTTATTTAAGCCTCATTTTTAAAAATTAATTTTAATGAAAGTTTACAGAGACCTAGGATTTCCAGTCATTCATTGTTGCACTTTTCTCCCTCCCCACCCACTTCCCCCCAATTCACTCTTCTCCTTGGAAAGAAAAATTCTTTCATTGTCATGTAGTCCCTCCCCTCAAGTCCACTCCACTATGTAGCCTTCACTCTGGACTTCTGTAATGAGAATACCCATTCATATATTCCTTTTAAACAAATCTCTCCCTCATCTGCTTCAATGCAAGATACATCATTCCTCCTCCCCTTCTCTGTCTTCCCTCAACCCTGATGTCAGTCCTATTTTACAACAGTGGCCGTCCATCTTTTTTCTGTCTCAGGAAACACTCTAAGCTCTTTGGGTTAGCTGCACAGTGCCCTGTGGGCTGGGCCTCCAGAGCTCTGTACTAGCATGATAACATGCTCTTCATCGAGTCTGTGGGAAGATCAACAGAGGATACATGGAAGGTGCATGGACATACAGCAGAGCTGACACCAAATGAATTTGCACTGATGTAAAAGTTTATTATATGGTGCTTTAAAAAAAGGAAAATGTTGGTAAACCACATGACCATTCTCTTACTGTGGTAGATCTGGAGACGAGTGAAACAGAAAGAGGCATGGCATGTTGACTGCTGCAGGTGCTGTCATTTCTAGAATTAGTTGGTCCATTTTTTTTATACAGGTTGGTATATTGTCAGATCGTTTGAATTTGATTATTAGCTGAACGCTGTTCTGGATGCTAAACTTGAATGTGTGGCCGACACTGAGAGAGGTCGAGGAACCAGGAGGACACTCAGAAAAGAATGAAAATAAGATTTGTTGTGGTTGCCTCACCCGAAATAGTTCGTGATCCCCCCCTTTTTAAGTCAAAGTGACACACCACATTACTTTAACTACACACAGATTAACTAATAAGTCTTTTGAAAGAATCTTTTTATTTATTTTTTTTTCTTTACCCCAGCTTCTGTTCCGTCCTTGTCCCACCTCTGTCGCCTGGAAATTTGGTCCTGTCTGAAACCAGAACACCTTCGAGCTGAGAGTTTTATCTCTCAGCTGCCACTTCCTAAAAGCCTTCAGCATTACTTGTTCTATGCCGACGTGCTGAGGGTGAACGAGATTCCAGACCTGCCCCTTCTTCAGGATGGACACGTCGGTGATGTTCCACAGCACAGCTCACTATAAGACCGAGAGCCACGGAGTCCAAATTCTTGACGACTTTATAGTTCCAACAGCTGAATCCTGTGCTGCCAGGTGGTCTTGGGCAACAGTGGTTTATAAGTGTTTACAAACTGGGCTTCCCCAGTAAAACAACATCATAAACCTCCCTTATGGTACTTTCTTGCAGTTTTGTTGCTAGAAGGTTTAATGTTGTAATATACATTTCCTTGACCATTTTCTGCTTTATTCCGTTAATGAAGCATGATGTTGCTTCTAGTGCTAAATGGAACACATTCCCACCTGTGGTTGTGTGTTTACCTAGTGCTAGGAGCTCATACGCAATGTGTAAAAGTTCACTGGAAATGTATATAACTGAGGGTTTAATGTCTTTATTCTTGTTATTACGGTCCTGTTATTGGGACTTGAGTTGCTCTTACATTTTATGCAAGAGCACGTTTCCCTCTCTTTCCCCACTTTATTCTCATCTTTTAATTCAGTCACTGAAGAACAATTAGTGTTCACTACTAGCTTTTCATATTGTAAACTCAGGGAAGGTGGTTGGGGTGTGTGTGTGTGTGTCTGTGTGTGGTGTCTCCCCCCCACCAAATATAAAAAAGCACTCTTATTTGCTGATTGTTAGTTCTGTTCCTTTTCATCCTGGCAAAAATGACTGCATTTGTAGTCTGTAAAGACAAGAATGAAGGTGAACTCAAAATAGGCTCAGTTGAAAACATGTCAAATTAGTACTAACAAAAATAGGATCATTTTTACCATTCTTGTAATATCAGGAGAGAGTAATGGGCGTGCATATGGCACTGTCGTTAAAGAAGACCAAGTTTCTGTTCTGAGTGACTCGAGATCAGATTTAAGATTCCAGCCCCATTCTGCCTCAGTATCAGAGGACTGCTTTGAGCTTATGAAGCACTGATGGCTAATGCCATTACTTTTATAGAGTTATCTCTTCTTATTATATAGATAGGTCATCAAACAGTCCAAGAAATATATAGACCTTCAGATCCTAGGTTAATGAGGCACTGCCTCGTCGGCTTTTCAATTGCTGACTTGGAACTGAGAATCTGGAAGAATGAAACGGAATTATTCCTTAGAGAGTGCACTAACAGACCACCAGAACCAGCCTGGAGATAAAGATATTAAAACATGACTGTCACTGTAGTCAATCAGAGATGGGCCCAAAGGAGGCAAGCCTTCTTACGCTTTGGTATCCTGTAACTTACGATGGATGGATAATGGGACATTTAGGAAGATCTCTGAGAAGTCTCGGCAGGCAGTGAGAAAGTCCGGCAAATGACGGGGTGCTTAGAGGATCCAGGTGAATAATTGTGTGGTTAGGTGACCAGAGCGCTCCTGGAGTTGCTGCGCGGGGGCACAGATGGGGTAGTGTATGCAGACGGTTGTTAAGGTTTTACATCCCAAACCAGGCAGTTGTCCTGACAATTAAGAAGAAAAAAAAATTCCCAGACTCTTATGATGATTCCTACACTATTTCTTAAATGTCATAATCTTTATTTTTCCAAACTTTATATCTCTGATTTTTCAACTATCAAGACCATTGGCGGGTGTTGGTTTGGGTTGTTTTTTTTTTTTTTTTTTCATTGTTGTTGTTGTTAGAGCCAAATGTATATAGAATGTTTAAATTTAAGGGTGAATATTTTCTTGTATTTTATTCTTGTTCAAATATGCAATAAACTCAACTACTCAGAACTTCTCATTGAGTTCTTATTCTTACGAGTCTGAGAATGAGTGTTTCAGAAACATTTAAAAACCTTTGGTATTTATTACTGAGGACTGATAATATTGTATGAATGGTATCCTTTTTTAGAGAATTCATTTGTAATGAAATATGATTCTTTTTGTTTATAACGAAGCCTGAGTAGAGAAATCTGTTCTAGAATATCTAAATACAGTTTCATCTTCTGATCGAAATGGCACATCAACTTTGTGAATTTTAAGCACTTCCTACACAATGCATAATATTGCTGTAATACTCTCAACTTAAAATCTAGTAAGCTGAATAAGGATCATAATAGTTTTTTTAAATTTTAGGGTTTTTATATGAATTTTAATGGACTTTTATAGAGACTTTGGATTTCTATTGATTGGTTGTTGCATTTTTCTCCCAGCCCTCCCCTCCCTGCAAATCATAATAGTTTTATAGTGATGGCACATCTTACGACCAGGTGGAACTTAGAATCAAGCAAGCACTTTAAAAAATAGTTGCCAAGAATTCACCTTTAGGGAGCTCTGGTGGCCTAGTGGCAAGAAGCTGCACTGCAATCCCAGAGGTGAGTGGTTCAAATCCACCCAATGCTTTGCTGGAGAAGGAAGGACAATCTCCTCCCGTACCAGTCAGATCCCATTTGACAACACACACACACACACACACACTAAAAGTAATAAAAAATTAGAAAAAAAGAATTCACCTTGATGATTACATGATCATTCCCTCCTGATGATTGCGTATTTTTCTCTGATCATTTTGTATAGAGTGGTAACCATGGACATTGTTCCTTTCAATTCTTCATTTTGCCAAATAAAAAGTGTCATGATAAGCAACTTTCCAGTATCCCTGCTTCGCAGAGGTTGATTGGGCTCTCCCTCTGCCCAAGTCTACCGACAAGAGTGGTAATTCTTGACTGATCAACCTTGGTGTCACATTTATGTCCAGCAGCCAGCTGACCCCATTAACTTCAGCTATATTCTTCTCACCTAAATTCATCTGTAATCCTGCATGAGAACAATAATGTTTTTGTTCTTAACCTTTTATCGTGATTTGATTGAGAGTTGCAGGACAAATTGGTTTTCCATTCAAGAATGATATGTCTTCTACAAGATCCTTGCTTATAGCTTGAGGTGTCGTTTGGACCTATGTAAGTACTTATTCCCCAAAGTTCTGTTGTTATTTTGTTGATCTTCAAAAATGCATCCTAAGTAGTAACTTTCCTAAGAATGTTTCCAAATAGCCATTTGCCTTCTCTGGGGCAGTAAACCTAATGGTCCTATTAGGGTGGGCGCAGATAGATGTTGAAAAATCAAAGTATTCCCTTTCAATTTTCTACTTGTATTTTTGTTGTTGTGGTTTTTTGTTTGTGAGTGGGGGTTTTTTGGTTGGTTTTTTTGTTTTATGTTTTATCTTTGTTTTACTTCCTGGTATTTTAAGAAGTATAATAATCTGTGTCACAGATAATAGAGAATTAACTCTTTTTATAGTTATTGCCAGCAGATGCCTAGTGCTGTCGGGAAACCATTTTAATGGTGGAGGTGGCTGTGGGGCTGATGGTATTGCTAATAATGTGAGCATTTAAAAATTGTACAAGTGAATATTTTAGTTCTAATAATTTGGGGAAGTAACCAGAGAAACTCCATACCACCTTTTTCTAATTTCATTAATTACTCTTCTAGTTGTTGTTGATTGCCGTTGAGTCGAGCCTGACTCATTGTGACTATGAACAGAAGACCTGAAGCCTTTCTATAACTATTGTTTCTCAAAGTTCATAGAGTTTCCAGAGGCATGCTGCTTAGGGAGTGGATGTCAAACGTTCAGCCTATTGATTTCATCTTCGTACTCAAAGTAAAGAACATGGCAAAGCCTAGGGAAGCCTTAAATTTCCTGTGAGTTGGGGGGATAGTGAGCACCGTGGGTATGTGGCTTCCCCTGACTTGCTGCCTTTACTTTCTTCCTCCTTTCTCTCTTTCCCAAGCCTCCAGCCCCATAAAGCTCAGCTGTCAAGACTTACATGAGGATAAGAGCCCAGATCAAGAGACTCCATTGAGCATGCCTCTGTCTACCCTGGAGTGAGGGTTGGAAAGGTAACTGACAGTTTGCATACCTGCATTCAGAAAGGAGTTCTCTTAGAAGAGCTAACTTTGCGTGCTTGAGTTTATGCCTGCACGTTCCTTCTGCAATGAGGACTTCAGAGAAGTATGGCCCGTAGTTGAGGTTGGAAAGACTGTCGTGGTAGGGTCCCCCCCCCCCAGCATATTAAATAAATTTAGCTGCTTGCTACTCTGGGATGCTTGGGCTCCTAGTTGTAAGAGGTATAGGTTCTCATACTCAGAGAAGTTAACATGGTTTGTTTTTATTTATTTTAAAGGATAAATGTTTATTTGGAGTTATTATTCTGGTTGGTGCTGTTGAAGTTAACATGTTTTTAAATGAATTGGTTTAAGTGAATGAAAGCTCAAGGTGAAATACTGCTGACGGCGGGTTGTCTTTACATACTGCCCGACTCAAGCGCAAGCTGTGATTTGCTGTGGTCAGCAACCTTTGTCTTTGGCTTTTTAAGTTTTTATTTATTGTTATGTTTTAAACTTTTATCTTGGTTTGCATATAGTTTGTATACATTGTGTTTCACATTATCCTTCACTCACATTGTGTTTCATACTGTTATTCATTATGTGTTGTAAAATCATTCACCATGAAACCGTGCCCCTCATGACCCTGCCTTTACAGGTGCCTGCTGGATCCTTCCTAGTTCCCTCACTCCACCTCCGTCTACCCACCAAATTGTGTGATGCTTTGATTCTCCCTATCGTGCTATTTTTATAAATACACTTTTATTTCCTTTTGACTTGCCGTTTTTAATTTCTTATAATGCATTCATTTAAGGGAAATTTAATGTTTCTGTGTGTCTGGCCATGTATTTTTCCTTTTGGTTTCTCTTTGTTTTTCTTTTTTATTTTGTTTTATTTTATTACTTTTGTGTGAGTATACCGTCAAATCAGATCTGACTGGTACAGGAGGAGAATGTCCCTCCTTTCCCGGCAGAGCATCTGGTGGATTTGAACTGTGCGCCTCTGGGATTGTAGTTGCAGCTCCTTACCACTAGGCCACCAGAGCTCCCTATTGTTTTTCTTTTTGAGATTGTCAGTTTATCCTCATCTATCCTTATTATTAAATGGCCATTAAGACATAAGATCTTCATAGATGAATTAAGACCATATAAATGTGGCAGATGACTTTTCTGCGTGTCTGTATGTGCTGTAAATAGAACCATATATATAGT